CCGGCCAGATAAAATACACAGTGCCCAGTCACATCTGAATCGTGATGAACCACAAATTATCTGTAGTGCAGAGGTGTCCCAATGAGTTTTTTTCTTCTTAGTATATGTGTGTCCCATGCAATATTTAGGACATACTTATATTAAAAAAAAATAAAAATTGTTAGCGTAAGTAAATCCCATGCAATATTTGGGATGCATTAACTGCTTTTTAGTATATTCCATTTTCCAGATGGTAAAGTCAAGGCCCCAAGGCCCCAGGCCTCCATCTGATTTTCAAGAAGGGGTGCCCCCAGCCCAGGGACATCTGAATCGTGATGAACCACAAATTATCTGTAGTGCAGAGGTGTTCCAATGATTTCATTTTTTTTCTTTTTCTTTTTTTTAGTATATTTGTGTCCCATGCAATATTTAGGACATACTTATACTAAAAAAAAATAAAAATTGTTAGCATAAGTAAATTCCATGCAATATTTGGGATGCATTAACTGCTTTTTAATATGAGTATGTCCCGTGCATTATTTGGGACATACTTATTGTAACATATTATTTGTTGTTTAAGATTCAAATTTAACTGTTTTTGTGTGTGGGGGGAGGTGTTATTTTGTGTTTTGGCAACTCTGTCCCAATGCCCTGGAGTCCCCCCCAAGCCCCAGGCAGACACACCGCAGGAGGCAAATTTCAGGGACAGCACACAGCTCTCATGAAGGTGCAGCTGGTATTTCTCTGGCTTGCGGACGTGCAAGATCTCAACATTGCTGCTCTCCATGCCGACGGCCAGCCAGTCTTGGTTGGGGCAGTGGCCCAAGGAAAAAATCTGGGAGGGAAGAGGGAAGAGGTAGGGTCAAAACCCCTTGGGACAGTGGGAGGTGCCCAGAAGAAGGGGTGGGGGAGGGGAAAGTCCAACACTCTCCCACTGAGGCCCCTGCATGGAGTGCAGCTGGCCCAGGGCCTAGCAGCAGCAGGCAACTGCATGTCAAATCATTAATATTAATCAGCATTACATGGAACCCCGGGGCCTCACATCCATTATCTGCTTTGAACGCACAACAGCTCTGGGAGGGAGGGTGGGAGGGGCTGGTGGGGGAAGCCAGGCGAGGACAGTCGCTCCCCTTGAGCAGATGGTGGAAGGGAAGCTGAGGCCAAGTCTGGCTCAAAGTCACGAAGCAAGTCCAGCAAGTCTGTGAAGGGCCAGGCCTTCCGACTCGCAGCTTGGAACTTTCCCTACTGCCAACACCTCCTTTTATTTTGATTTGAAAGGACTTGGTGGCCTCATCACTCTGTGCCCCACCCCACACGAGGCACAGAGAGGAATAAGGCCCTGCTCCATCCTAAATCTCACAAAGTCTTACAAGTAAGACATGTTTGGAAAGAACTATAAATATATAGAGAGAAGACTGGAAGTTTTCACATGTTCTCTTCTGGCCACATAGAATGTTCCTGTATAGAGACAGGTGCCCACGTGGGATAGGAGACACTCACCATGGAATCCCTTGATGTGTATGTAACTCATCTAAGTTTTGGAGATAGAGGATGGACAACTATCCACCTGCACCCCTCATTTCCCTGCCAAGAAAACACTCAAGCTAAAAAGAAGGTAGAACAGAAAAGGTTGGGGAACATAAAGAGTTGGGGGCTTCAAGGAGGGGGGCAAATTTGATGGGGTTTGAAGGATGAGTAGGAGTTTACCAATTGGAGAGAGGAAGGGGAAGGCATCTCAGTCAGAGGGAACAATAAGTAAGGAGGACTAGAGGTGTCCCAGGACATGGTGTGTTTGAGATGAGAGAATGGAAGCCCTAAAGGACTGTCCCCTGAGCGGTGGGAGACAGGCTCTGGGGCCAGGGTATCTGAAGGCCTGTCTTTAATGGACTCTTTGCTCAGCCCTGAGAAGCCCCCTGATTCTGTCCAGCTCCTTCACCACATCGTTCAGCCTGGATTCCCACAGGGCCCTCAACAGAGACCTCTCTGTGCCCTGCTCCTATGTCAACCTCTACCTCTCCCCCAAGAGTCCTGAGGTGGGGGTGGTCAGAAGCTCTCAATAAGGTCAAAGGTTGAAGGCTGGGTGGAGAAACCAGTCATACAAGTAGAGACAAAGGAATGGGGGAATGGCTTGGCCAGAGCATCTGGGAAAATGATCTGAGGGTCTTAGCAGCCCTGCAGTGTAATATAAATCAGCTCCTTTGTGGTTCTCTGTGTCTGTCTCGGAGAATAAAGGGGAAAGCCTTGCCCTTGCTGCTTTGGCTCAGTGGATAGAGTGTCGGCCTGGGACTGAAGGGTCCCGGGGTTCAATTCCAGTCAGCGGCACATGCCCGGATTGCTGGCTCGATCCCCAATGGGGGGTGTGCAGGAGGCAGCCGATCGATGATTCTCTCTTGTCATTAATGTTTCTATCTCCCTCTCCCTTCCTCTCTGAAGTCAATAAAAATATATTAAGATGAAAAATAAAATAAAGGGGAAAGCCTGTATCTGAAGGGCAAGAAAGATGGACACAGGTAGCAGGCATTTGGTTCTGCTCCGAATCTGGAAGTGGGTGCCTCGGGGAGAGGAAAAGAGGCCAGATTCCTGGAGCGTCTACCCCCTCCCACTGGGCCCCTTCGGCACCTGGGAGCTGAAGTCATGCTGCTGCAGCTGGCGGCCCTCCCGCAGGTCCCAGCAACGCACGGTGTTGTCCAGGCCCCCCGTCCAGAGCCGAGTGCCATAGTCAGAAATGTCAATACAGCTGGCACCGTCCGTGTGGCCCTGGAACTGCCTGGAGGGAGAAGGGCCCGGCCATCCATCCTGGAGCTGGTGCTGCTCCAAGGCCACTCCTCTGCCCCAACAGCGTGAAAGGAAAGGAGGCGGGGGCTGGCCCAAGGTCCCATGGCACCCTCCACCCACCTGACCATGGTCTGGTTCTGCAGGTCCCACACCACGATGTTGCCATCGCTGCAGCAGGAAAAGCAGACCTTGGCGTCGGGGCTGACCGCCAGGGCGTAGCAGGCGGGGGCTGAGGAGGTCAGCTCGGCCTTGATGCGGGGGGTGGGCGCTGCCAGGTCCCAAATGGACAGAGTACTGGCCTCACCGCCCACGATAAGGCTCCGGCCATCCGGCAGTAGCTTACAGGAACGAATGTAATTGTCCCGGTTCTGGAGGAGAGAGAAACAAGGGTGTGGGGTTGACCCCCCCATGCCCCCTGGCCTCCAAGAGCCCAGCTGAAGAAGCTGCACCCCACCTCTGGTTAGCTTGAAAGTCCTGCCCCAGGTTGGCTTGTAAGCCCCACCCATTGGGCTAGAAGCTCCAACCCCACAGAATTTATAGCAGTTATGAACGTGATGTTCTTAAGCCACGCCCCATTGGACTTCAAGCTCCGCCCCTGATTGGCCTAAGTTCTACCCATAAGCTCCACCTCATTGGCCTAGAAGCCCCGCCCCTGATTTGCCTATAAACTCCACCCCATTGACTGATAATCCCTGCCCCTGCTTGGCCTGTAAGCGCCCCCCCTTCCTTGGTATATAAACCCCATACTGTTGGCCTTTGGCCGCAAGCCCCGCCCCCGTGCGTTACAAGCCCCGCCCCGCCTCACCAGGCAGTCCAGCTGGGCCACTGGTGTCTTGGCGCCAGGCTGGCCCACATCCCACACCTTCACGCAGCCCTTGCCTCCCGTGTACACGTGCTGCGTGGAGCCGCTGATGGTGACCGCGCAGACCACCTCGCCGTGCGCCAGTGTGTGCAGCTGCCGCGCGTGCCGTGGGATGCCTGCACCCACTAGCGCATCGGATGGGAAGGGCACTGGTTGCATCTGCCCGTCCGCAGACACGTGGAAGGAGTAGGCCCTGGACAGAAGATGGGCATGACGCTCGCCCCAGAGGGCATGGGGGAGGCCTCGGCACCCTCTCCCCGGAAGGCAGCACCGTGCCTCTGCTTGCCTGCTGCCCCGCCCCGCCTCATTTAGGCAAGGGAACCACAGGACCAAAGGGGATGTGAGAAGGTCGGTGTGGTACAAAAGGGAGAAAGGGCTCCAGGTGGTGGCCTGGTGCATGGTCAACAAACACTTAGTAAATGTTTTTCCACGAAGAGGTCTTGAGTTCCAGAGAATGCTGTCCAGCAATGACCACCAGCCACATGTGGCAAGTTAAATGCAAGTAAATTTAAAATTTCAGTTCCCTGGATGCACTGACCACATTTCAAGCGCTCAAAAGCCACAGGAAGCTGATGGCGATCAGAGTGGACAGCAGCAGGCAGAGAACGTTCCCTGACTGAAAGGTCTATGGATACGTGGTGCCAGGTCCTTCTCTGTGGGGGCCGCCCTGGACGCTGTGGGTATCGAGCAGCATCCCCACCCCGCCCACCAGAGGCTGGAGCATTTGGCTGTGATAACCAAACACATCACCAGATAGCATCGAATGTTCTGAAACAGGGGAGCAAAATGTACCCCTGTTGAGAACCACTGGTCTACACTTTCCTGGTTACCTACCTCTCTCCAGAGAGAAGAAAGAAGGGAGAAGGGAGCAGGTAGACCTGAGGTAGGTGGGAGCTCCCATTATCTTACAGAAGAGACTTTCTGCAGAGGCATCAAGACACCCCACCCCACCCCACCCCACCATGGAATGCCCTTGGAGGGAGCCCCCCCTGTACTCACGGCTTTCCCCCAGAGATGCTGGGCAGGGAGGAAGAGATGGATGACCCCCGGAGATGTGGATGAGATTCAAAAGCCATCTGTCAAAATGCCAAAGGGGGTGTCACAGGGTAGGTGACTCAAACTCGCATGTGCCCTCTCCCAGACCCTCCCTACTCTAGCCCCTGTGTATCAGAGGACCCCAATGTGTTTCTTAGCCCCTCCCCAAGAAAGCATAGAGGCCCTCTCCTCTCCCATACTACAGATGGCAGAGCGGAGGCTTTCACATGAGGGAACCCCAAGATCTCTGTCCAGGGAATCCTAGAGCCCCAGAATTGTAAGGAACCTAAAGAATCTTCCATCCAGTGCTCAGAACAGGAGTCTGCCAACGACAGCCCCCTGCTTGTTTTTGTAAATGAAAGTTTTATGGGCAGACAGCCACATTCGTTCATTTATATTTTGTCTACGGTGGCTTCTGAGCTATATAAAGGCAGAGTTGGATAGTTGTGACAGAGACCAACTGGTCTGCAAAGCCAAAAATATTTACTATCTGGCCCCTTACAGAAAACATCTGCTGACTCCTTTTCTTTTTTAATATATTTTTTTATTGATTTCAGAGAGGAAGGGAGGAGAGAGATAGAAACATCAATGAGAAAGAATCATTGATTGGCTGCCTCCTGCACACCCCGCACAGGGGATCAAGCCTGCAATCCAGGCATGTGCCCAGACTGGGAATTGAACCCTGATCTCCTGATTCATTGGTCAAAACTCAACCACTGAGCCACACCGGCTAGGCACTGATTCCTTTTCTATGGCATCTCTTGCAAGTGCCCACCCGGCCTCTGGCCTGGGTATCTACAGTGAAAGGCATTCTATTGCCTCTGGAGGCACCTTGATCCACTTGGGGAGGGCTCACTCCAGCAGTCATCTGTCCCAGTACTGCCTCTGCGGCCATGCGGACCCTGTCTGCTCCCTCCACTCCAGCTCAGGAGTCTCATGTCTCATTTCTTCAACTCCTCCTCATGGAAACTCACTTCCAGTTCACTCCCCAGGCTAGTCCTTCCTCTGCAAGCTGCCAGAATTGTCACTGGCCCTTAAATATCCAGGCTCAGCCCAGCTGGTGGAGCTCAGCGGTTGAGCATCGAGCCAGGAACCAAGAGGCCACTGGTTCAATTTCCGGTTGGGGCACATACCCAGGCTGTGGGCCCGAGCCCCTGTGGGGGGGGGCTGCCTCCTGATGATGTTTCTCTCTCATCGATGTTTCTCTCTCTCTCTCCTTCTCCCTTCCTCTCTAAAATCAATAAAAATATATTTTTTTTAAAAAATCAAGGCTAACAACTGACAGCATCTGCCAGGAGGTGGAACGGGACCCTCCCCTTTCATGGCTGGGGCTCTCCATCCCTCTTTACTGCAGCACAATCACAGCTGCTTTTCCAGTCACGTGTGCTGATTTGTATTAAGCTTGTGGAACTACTGAGACCCTCAGATTAGCTTTCTACACGTACTTGTCAAGTCGGGGCTCCCTTCCTTTCCCCAACTCCTGGTTTTCGTTGGATAACTGGTTTTCCCTCCCAGCCTCCAGCTTTTGGTCCCTGCTGACGTCTCCCACACTGAGGACTCACCATGGGGGAGCGTCCATATACCATAGAGCTACTGACTTGGGGGGACAGGTGGAGGCTGACGTAGGAGCTGGGCACAGAGAGGTCCCCATTAAGCGCACTGTGGGAGCCCAGGCTGAAGGACGCGGTGAAGGGACTGGGCAGGGCCAGAGGGCTCCTCAGGGCTGAGTGAGAAGAGACAAAGACAGGTCTTCAGACACCCTGGACCCAGATCCTGCCCCCCACTCGCTTGGGGTCAGGGCGCCAGCACTGTGACCTGCCATTCAGGGCTCCTGTGCTCTGTTCCAGCATTCACCACACCCTGTCGTATCTCCAGGCATTTACAAATGTGGTTCCCTCTGGCTGACATGCCTTTCCCTTCCCTTCTTCAGTTTCTGAACTTCTACTCATCCCTCAAAACCTAGACGCCATGTTTAACAACATTTCAGGAACATCCCCGAGCCTCTCCAGTCCACCCTAGCCTCCGACTTTGGGTCTCTCCTTCTACCCCAGGTGTATCACACGGGGCTGGGAGTTTTGGGGTCTGGGTCTCCTTGCCACCATCTGGGAGCTCCTTGTGGGCAAGTTCCAGGGCTGTTTTCTTTCTGAGACCCCGAAACCAGCACAGGCCTAGAAGAAGAGCACTGTCATCCCCATATTACTAACGGGGAACCTGAGGCTCAGAGAGCTTGGGTCCGTTCCCCAAGGTCATCCAGTTGGCAAGTGTCCAAGGCTGGCCTCAAACCCAAGCCTTTCTGACTCTAAAGCTTGTCTTTCCAGTGCACCAGGCTGAAGCCCCTGAGTACGTCTGGGTCTCAGTTTGCCCACCTTTCAAACGAAGACAACGAGAAAACCAAGGCCCAGAGCGAGGCAGCATCCAACTCAGAGTCATGAAAAGGATCGAGGCCATGCTAGGGCTGGCATCCAATCTCCTGCCTCCCTCACCCCCTACCACTTTCTAGAACCTCCCTCCCAGCGAGGAGACCCGCTCTGGCAGGCACCAGTGGGCGCTCACCAATGCTGTCCGTGGAAGGCGTTGGCTTGGCAGCGAGCTGGCGGAGGTGACTGGCCGAGCTGGGCCCGGGTGTGGACGCATCCTGGGGCGGGGAGGAGTCGCAGGACTTGGAGGCAGGGGTGCTGGCAGGAAGGTCATTCTGGGGAGAAAAGGCAGGACAGAACACCGCCAGGCACCTGGCACCTTGCAGGCCAAGGATCTGGTCAGAGATGGATGAGAAGAAGGAACAGGTAGACCTGGTAGGCCAGGGCTCATGGGAAGCGACCACACACGGCAGTGCAGCTCTGCAGTTGCAGACACTTTCAGACATGTACTCACCAGGAGAGGGGGCCCCACAGCGGATCCCCTAGGGGACACGTGAGTGTCTGCACACATTGGAACGCCAGGTGGGTACCTGGGCACACGCACGCACATGCATGGCAATGGGAACCAACACGCACATGCATGGTGAGAACCATGCATTCATATGGTAAGGTATGCAGTGTGGATACACAGTCAGGAACACCATGTAGACAGAATGGTGCAAGGTGGGCCCTCAAGCAAGGTCACACCCTGAGGAAGGGGGTGGGGAGAGACAGAGTTGGAGGCTGTCGGGGACAAGGAATGGGAAACTCCGGGAGGGGCCCGAGACACTGGAGACCACACAGCGTTCTCCCAGCGAAGGAACAGCACCCGGTGCTGGTGGGCTTTCCCTTCTCCCCATGGGGAGGGGGTACTCCTCACAGCTGTTCCTTCCACAGGAACGCGAGAGAAGAGGGAGGCCGGACCTCCACACGGGAGCACGCGGGCGTCTCTCCTGCCTGCCATGACCAACCTCGCCTCTTAAGAGACTGATTCACAGCTTTGTCTTGTGTCCCTTACATCTTATCTTCCCATCACAAAATGACATGTATTGTCACACGCACACACCCACGAGAGGGAGTGGACGGGGACAGCATGGTGACGGGGGCCTCTCCATTAGAACAGAGCTGCTCCTCCCCCTCTCTGGTCTCTTGAGAAGCAAAGTGAGCCCTAACCTTGACGGTTGCCATAGCAACCTGCTGGGAGGGTAAGCCTAGAAACTGAAGCAATCTCCCAAGTAAGTTCAGGGCAAGGGTCTAGGGGAGACCTGGGGGAGGGAGAGGGACAAATAGAGCTGAATTAAGAATTCCTTGGGGGTGCCTGGTGGGGTAGCTCAGTTGGTGAGAACAGCTTCCTGAAACACCAAGGTGGCAGGTTCGATCCCTGGCCAGGGCACATACACAAATCAACCAGTGAATGCCTAAATAAGTGGAACAACAAATTGCTATTTCTCTCTCTCTCATCAGTCAATAAAAATGTTTTTGAAAATTCCCCCCAGGGGTGTATGTAATCTTAGGCGGTCCTATACTGGCATTAAACCTGGGAGAGGCAAGGAGAAAGTTGTTGATGTGGATCCTGGTTCCTGGTGGGGACAGCATTTCAGGTTGGGGCTGGTGTGTCTTCATTGCCTCTCAAAGGCCTTACCACTCGCAGGGCTGAAGTCTGCCTTGTGGCTGGTCCATTCTACAGTCTCACTGTTTATTTTCAGAGCATTTCCTATTTATTGCAAGCGATACCTGACTTCCCCATAAGATGGTGAGTTGCCTCTTAATATGTATTTACAAAGTTAACTTACAACGTTGCCTTTTAATGTTTATTTAGGTGCAACAGAATGAGTCCACTTGAAAAAAAAATTACCTAAATAGGGTAGAGGGGGTTTTAGGAAGGTGGCCAAATAATCTGGAGGGGAATGCTGGACACACCAGTCTGGCCAATTTTTCCTCTCCTCGAGTCAAATGGGTAGTATCTGTTTCCAGGCCCTCAGGGTGAACAAAGTGAGTTTCAAGGCCTCCCCTACTTCTTACCAGAACGAGCTCCTTGGTTCTGGGGAGCGGTGAGCTGAGGCTGGAGGCCAAGGAGGCTGGGCTTTCCACAAGGTCCCGACGGGCAGGGACGCAGATGGGCGCCTTTCCACATGGGGTGGTAGTTGGGCTGGGGGGCTCAGAGGGTTGGTCCTAAGTTTGAGGTGATGTTGAGTGGGTGAGAAAGAGAGCCTCTCTCTTTACCCCTCCTGAACCCAACCCCAACCTCTAGACAGGGCACCTGCAACCCACCTTGGGAGGATTATGAAACCTCCCTGTGCCTCAGTTTACTCATCTGTAAAAGGGTTTAGTGTTGGGACCTACTCTAGAAGCACAAACAGCAAGGACTTATAAAGGCTCGGTGTTGTTTTCCCCACTGGACAGATGGGGAAAGAAGCAGCCGGGAAAGGGGCCACACTCCTCCAAAGACACACAGTGAGCCAGCGCTTGAAGCCTCTTCTGCAGTCCATCTTGGGAGGATTATGAAACCTCCCTGTGCCTCAGTTTACTCATCTGTAAAAGGGTTTAGTGTTGGGACCTACTCTAGAAGCACAAAGAGCAAGGACTTATAAAGGCTTGGTGTTGTTTTCCCCACTGGACAGATGGGGAAAGCAGCAGCCGGGAAAGGGGCAACACTCCTCCAGTCAAACAGTGAGCCAGCGCTTGAAGCCACTTCTGCAGTCCATCCCCAGTGTGCCCTGGGCCTCAGTTTCCCCACTGTGCTATGGAGAAGGTGTCCACCTGAAGTGACCGATAGCCCCTACTTCCCTTGGCCCCAGACATCCCACAGAGAGGGGACCAGTAATTCCCCCCCACACCCAACTCCAAAACCCACCACTTGCTCTGTGTCCAGACCTAGTTCCCTGCCTCTGAGTCCTGGAGTCGAAGAGTCAGAACCTCAACTCACCTCATCCACCACCAGGTTATAATCACTCTTGTCCTCGTCGCTCTCCTGGGGGGACATGGAGAGAGAGCTCACCCTGCCAGGCCCCTGCCTCCACACCCGCTTCCATCACTCGGGAAGGGGAGCATGCATCCAGCAGGCCCTGGGTTGGATAGGAATTCTGGGGCTACAGCAGCCCATTGGCTTGGTTCAGAGGCGAAGATGCATTTGCTCAGTGCAAGGGAGGGTTTGAGGTAAGGGGGTGAAGGGAGTGGGTCTCTCCTAGAGAAGGACGAGGGAGACAGCGCTGAATGCCCAAGCCTTGCGGTGTTGCCGTTTATTTCCGCGCAACAGAATGACGCCTGAGTGACTCCCAGTCCTCCCTGACCTCATTCCTCCTCTGTGCAATGGGAGGAGAGCCAGAGACCAGGAGTATCCATACTTCCCTCTCACTCATCCATCTGTGCCCCATCCCCATGGCCCCAGCACAGACCTCATCCCCTCCTTGGTCTCCTGGCCTGCAACCTTGCCCCTTCCAAGTAGCCTTCCAAGCTAGCCCCAGAGAGATGTTCTTAAAACCTGTTCCCACATCTGCTCTATATCCTCATAGGGCTCCCAATGGCCCCCGGAGAAACACATGTTGGGCTGCCCTCTGGTTTGGCTAGAAACCAAGGGAAGACCAAAGGTTGCAGCCTGAAGGCCACATCTGCCCAGCGGGTGGGTTTTCTTTGTCCTCCTAATGTCCAGTTTTCTTCTTTAACACAAAATTAGGCCCTAACCGGTTTGACCCAGTGGATAGAGCTTTGTCCTGCGGACCAAAGGGTCCCGGGTTCTATTCCTGTCAAGGGCACATACCTCGGTTGCAGGCTCCTCCCTGGCCCAGACCCTGGTTGGGACTCAACCTGGTGCAGGAGGCAACCAATCGATATGCTTCTCTCACATCAATATTTCTCTCTGTCTTTCCCTCTCTCTTCTACTTTCTCTAAAAATCAATGGAAAAATATCCTCCAGTGAGGATTAAAAAAAAAAAAAGATTAAAGGCGTCTTTTAAAAAAAGATTAAAAGCTTCTCTGAGAAAGAGTGGCCGACACTGGGCTCAGTAGTCAGCCAGGACCAAGTCACAGCTGCCCCTCTAGATGGGACAAATGCCCCCCATCTGGCCACTGTCCCAAGCCTCACTTTCAACATGACCCCTGGGGCACTAGAGCTTGAAACTACAGGAGCAGCAATTGCTCTGACAATGAGAGAGGAGGTCCCAGCCCTCCAGGGAGGGGGTCAGGGACAGCTCCCTGCAGAAGAGTACAGTGATTTTTGTGCCTGAGAGGCAGAGGGAAAGAGGTTCTGGGGGTAGGAAACAGCTAGAGCAGAAGCCAGGAGGTGGGAAAATAGTGCATGGTTCAGAGGCTACAGGGACTTAAGCGACTAAAGGATTAAGCCTGACTCCACAGGGTCTCTTCTGATTGGCCAGTGTTCCGTGAGCAATGGGGAGTTATGGAAGGCTCTGGAGTGAGAGTCATGGGCAGAACTGGGCTCTGGAAGGCTCCAAGGGGTGGGGCTTGGGGCAGGTCAAGGGCACGCATGCCCACCCCAGTCTTCCTCTCGCCCCGACTCACATAAGGTCCCGACAGATCTTTTTCCTCAGCTTGCTGCTTCCCGTTGCCGCCCAGGCCGCCTGGTCGCTCTTCTTCCACCACGCTCTCAGGGGGCGAGGGGGATGCACTCTGCAGAGAGAGGAGCCAGGCAGGAAGAAGATCAGGGTCCCGGGCCCCCATCCTGCATCCCCACACGAATACAAAGCAAATGTTATATAAGAGGGCAAGTCCCCGGATAACCCTCCACTTACCCTGCTCGGAGCTCTCTCCACTGGCGGGTTGGGGGCCAAGGAGAGAGAGAGAAGGAAAAAGAAGGAGGGTTTCATCTCCCATGGTACCAGACATGGCACAGCCCTCTGCAGGGTATAAATCCCTCTTCCCAGCTCAAACTCTCCCTTCTCCTGCCAACACCACTACAGAGTGGGTTATCCCTTCCACATACCAGTCAGATAAATGCCCAGAGAGGGTTAGTAACTTGCCCAAGGACACACAGTCAGTTGGAAGGAAAGGGGCCCTGCAGCCCCCTCACACTTATATGAGTTTGATGCTCTGGGCAGGGTGGTCTGCCAGTCCTCCCCCAACCACCACAACCCCTGGCCAATGCTACCCTGCCCCCTCCACTTACCTCTGGACCCCTCAGCCTCCACACCTGCCCGGTCCTCCTTCGTAGCCGTGGCCAGCTGAGCCTGGGCAGCCAGTGCTCCGGACAGGGCCAGCAGCCCCGTGGCACTGCCACCCACCAGCCCAGATGGGCGAGGAGTGAGGGGCACAGGGGGGATGTGGTGGGACAGTGGCTGGAGCTGCTGCTGCTAGAGAGGAGGAGGGGTGGGCCAGGGGCAGGTGGGGTGTTCGGGTGCCCAGTAATACCCCTGGCCCAAGAGGTTGCGGAGTGGGGACAAGGTCCACCAAGACCAGCTGCCCACACAGCACCCCCAACTTTAGCACCTACTGGTGCAGGGACCTGGGGTAGGGTCTCCCCAGGACAGGGCAGGGGCCAGGATGACTCACCCCAATGAGGCTGTTCAGCTCCCCCACAGTCACCTGCTTGGCACGCTCCATGGCCTGTAGCACCTGCTGTTGATGCTGGGAGGTGGGGGACATGGAAAAGGGGTGCTCAGAACCCCCTGACCGCTTGGAAACCCCATCTGCCCAGGCAATTCCCTCTGTGGCCCGCTCTCCTCTACCACCCTCACCCACGGCATTTGCTTTTTCTCCTCTATCTGTCTCTTCTTTTTTAAAAAAATATCATGAAATAGAGAAAAAGAAACAAAGCATATAAATGCAATTAATACTAGTAATTATAAACCGGAGCTTATAAAGTGGGGTCTCCCCTTGGCACTGCTGACATGGGGGCCGGACCATTCTCTGGGGGGCCTGCCCTGGACACTGTGGAGTACTGAGCAGCATCCCTGACCCGCCCCCTCGATGCCAGGAGCCCCTCCAGGGCCAGTCACCGATGTCCCCAGACATTGCCCAGTGTCCCTGGGGCCCGATCACCTTCAGTAAAGAACCACTGTAGACGTCAGCACCGACAGACCAACCACCCAGATCGGAAAATACACCCTGGCAGCCCCTAGGAGGCCCCACGCACCCCACCCTCTTGTCCGGCCTCTCTTCCCTCCCCTCACCTTCCCACAAGAACTCTCTTGTTTTCTGTATAATGTTCCCACCTACGGCTGCCTTCCCAAATCTGCCTGAATTGGTCCACGTGGAACCATTTCATGTCTCAATCTGTGTTCTCTTTTGTGTCTGACTTCCTTCACTCAGCATGATGTGTGCAGCCTTATCCATGATGTGGCCGGGGGCTGTGCAGTGTTCAGCGTGCAGTGCAGTAGAACTTTCTGTGGTGCGGTGATTAAATGTTCTCTATCTGTGCTGTTGGATACAGAAACCATTGGCCACGTGTAGCCACTGAACACTTGAAGTGTGGCCGGTGCAACTTCCATTGTTTCCCTCTCTGTCTCTATGCGTTTGACTCCCTTAGGGGCCTCCTCTGAGTGGAATCCCATAGTATGTGTCCTTCTGCGTCTGGCTTATTTTACTGCGTGTAATGTAAGGGCTAACTTTTATTGGGAGCTCACTAGGCACCCAGCATCATCCTCAACACTCTTCTAAACTTCACCACAGAAGCACAGGGAGGACAAGCAACTTGCCCAAGGCCACAGCACGCAGCCGGAACTCGGACCCTGGTGCAGGGCTTGAGCCCCACTCCTCCCTCCCCCTCAGCCAGCCCACCTTCCATCCCTGAAGCCCATGCCCCAGCCAGTGCCCTGACCCCTAAGCCACTCTGCAGAAACACTGCCTGCGGCATCGGCATCCAACCCTGCCCACCCCCTCCGTGGTCTCCCAGCTTCCTCCCGCCGCCACAGGCCCACTCACCTCCTGAGTCAGGAACGGGACAATCTGAGCACAGATGCCACTGAGGCGCTTCACAATCTCGGCCTGGCAGGAAGCAATTGGGAGGGGCTTGGAGGGGGAGCCTCCACTGGGAGGCCCAGGCTTAGCCCTGGCCGAACCCACGTCCCTCTCTGGGGCTGCAGCCAGGTAGAGATCCTGGCACCACCCTCAGGGCAGGGCGTTGTGATGCGATAGAACAAGTAGGCATTTGCTCTCTGTGCCTAGCCCCTGGCAGAGAGCTCCTAAACCCTTGGGATTTCTGAGGGAAGGGGGGTATCTTTGGTTATCTGTAATAAGCCCCTTTCAACCGCACCTGAGTTTATTAAAGGGTTGCAACTTTTAGCCCCACCCCCTGACCTCCAGGGAGGGGAGAAAGCCTGGGATTGAGCCAGTCATCAATGGCCAATGCTCTGATCAATCCTGCCTGTGGAATGAGGCCTCTAGGTGGCAGGGGAGTGGGTACTTTCAGGCGCCTCCGGCCCAGAGGTGCCCAAGGGTCTGCTTTGGAGCTGGCCAAGCCGGGCACTGCCCTGGCTGAAGGGGCGGGTGATGAGATGAGTGGTTGGGGCCTGCCTTCTGCTGTGGGCTCTTGCCTGGGTCTCAACACACACCTCAGAGGGCGCTGACCCAACACCCCAGGTGTCAGAGACGCCAGCACCGGCACAGCACAGCGAAGCAATGGCGGCCACCAACAGCATCAGAGAGGAGGCCCCAGGAGCCAAGACCTCCAGCCAGAGACACAGGTCAGGCCGCACAGCCAGAGCCTGGAACGGGCCTCCCAGCAACTCTGCGGCTCCTGGGCCACCCCTCCCCCCAGGAGCCCCTAGTACTACTGCTGAAACGCCTCAGTGGTTTTAAGCAGACGGCCAGGGCCTGGCCCCATGGCACCACTGGCTCCCGGAAAAACCCAGTTTCCCAGCCGGGAGCAATAGGCACAACTCATTTACCAAGGGCAACTGCTGGGAGACGACACCCAGACCCTGGGCAGCCTTCACCTCCCTCCCAACTGTGTTCTCAACTTCCACGGTCCACATGGGCTGGCCCCCAAACCCCCTCTGCCCCTCAGGGTCAGAGCCAGGCCCCGGCAGGCTGGAAACGGGCAGCCTGCTGCCCTGCTCCTGCTGTGATACTACCAGACCCAGGGCCCCCCTTCTTCCCCCTGCCCGCCGCTCTGGGTCCGGTTGGCTTCACCCTGCTCCTCAGTCTCCTGGCCTCTGCCATGTACCCCGCAGGCTCTTGGCAGTATGGCTGGCCCCTCCGGACCTCGCTCTGCAGGACAAGGTGAGAGCTGCCGTCTGCCCAAACGAAGTTCTCTGGCCTGCCTCTTCCCGCTACCCTCAGGGGCAGGCGGCCCCTCCCTGTGACCTCCAAGGCTCTGAGCCATCACTCAGGGTTGCTGGCCCTCAGCCCCCACTGACAGTGGGCTCCTCTTCCAGGGTCAGGCAGCTGCTGTCCTTTCTTGGCCTTGGGCAGAGTGGGCCCCACCCCTGGGCCCAGCTTAGTGTTCTGCCTGAGGACCCAGCACCTCTAGTCTCTAATTGCTCGTTGGGCTGAGTTGGGGACCCAGGGATCCCTGGAACACGTGCAGATTAAAAACTCTGATTTTTTTTTCTTCCTCACCCGAGGATATGCTTTTAAAATTTTTTATTTGAGAAAGAGGGGGAGAGATAGAGAGATAGAGATAGAGATAGAGATAGAGAGAGAGAGAGAGAGAGAGACATCGATCGGTTGCCTCCCATAAGCGCCCTGACCGGGAATTGAACCCACCATCTTTTGGTGTACTGGATGATGCTCCAACCAACTGAGCCACAGTGGCCAGGAAAAGCTTTGAAGTTTTTAAAAAGAAAAAAACAAACTCTAAAATACAGGGTATAGAGAGCTTTCGGGTGAGTGAGCACACAGGTGCTGGGAGGGTGGTGCCCTGGGGAGGGCCTGGAAGCTTCTAGCCCTTTCCCCATACCTTACCCTCTGCATCTGTCCACCCAGCTGTTCCTGAGTTATAACCTTTATAATGAACTCCTAATAGTAAGTAAGAACTTTCCTGAGTTCTGTGAGCCATTTTAGCAAATTATTGAACCCATGTAAGGAGTTGTGGGAAACCCCCCCCCCCAATTTATAGCCAATTGGTAATGGTGGCCCAGACTTGCAATTGGTGTCTGAAGAGGGGACTGAGCCCTGAACCTGTGGGGTCTGCACTAACTCTGGGCAGAGAGTGTCAGAATGGAGCTGAACTGCAGGACATCCCGCTGGTGTTGAAGTTGGAGAATCGGTTGGTGTGGGGGAAACCCACACTTCGTGTTGGAAATACAGAGCAGATAGAAAACAGAGGGGCTTTACTTGTAGGATTCATCTGGGACCAGGTCTGGGCTGGGGGTGCCTCATTAAGGCTGAACAGAGGGGACTCCTTGTGGATGCGGAAGGGGTGGCTATGGCATATCCAAGGGTGTGTGCAGTCAGCCTGTGCTTTGCGTCTGCTAGGTTATAGGGATGCTAATGTGCTGTGTGTCAAGGGTGGGAGTGTTCCGAGGCCTGAGTCCTACCCTGTGCCTGCCACCCCATAAGGGGGTCTATTTCATACACCTCTGGGACCACATCATGCTCCAGAAAGACACTTTCCCTCCCACCCACCCCAGAACCAGCAGAGCCCACACATACCTGAAAAAGTATGCCAGGGCAGACACCCCCAGCACCCTACATTCCTAGCCCACCTACTCAGAAGACCCAGTACTAGGCTCCACCCAGTAACTCTAATATTCTGACGGACAGAATCTAAGATTCCATCCACCTTAGAATCTCCATCCTATTAGAAGCCATCAAAGAACTCTCAGTTCAGGCTCAGAATCTTGGGGTTAATCTTGGACAACTGAAGTCAATTTCAGAACCTTTGGTTCTAACTCAGAACCTTGAGATCACTCTTAGAGGTAGGTGTAGGCCAGTCTCAGAACCTCAGAGCACTAGAGTCCATCTCAGACCCTTCGAAACGGCAAACGAAGCCCAGACCAAGTAACTCAGTTGGTTAGATATGTCAAACTTGTGGGTTCCATTCTGGGTTCAGTTCCCCATCAGGGAACATACAGGAAGCAACCAATGAATGCATAAATAAGTGGAACAACAAATCAATGTCT